TGCTTCAAAAGATAGGGCTGATTTTTTGACTAGTGGTGAGAAATGATTAATTTCCAGAAACCAATGGAAATACTTCATACTCTTTTCAGCAGAATTTGAGAAAATTTGAAAAATAGAAATCTTCCTGAATGAAATGTAGGTTTGTGAAACTTGGAAAATGATTAGAGCAACAGGAAGCTTTGGTACTAATCAGTCCTGGATGACATGGAGTGAAATTGATCAAACTTATTGGTGGATGTGATTCCCTCCATTGCAGTGATACCCTTCACTCCTCTTAGAGTTTTGTATTAACCAGCTTTCCTTAGTCCTATACCCTTCCAGTGCACAGATTTTAATGTGCAATAAAACATTTTGGTTTTAACTGCATTTACTCTCTTGACTGGTTGTGGAATATTCCTGGTTAATATGCTTCTGCAGAGAAATGGCTAACTACTAGGAAATGAAACAAAATGGATAGCAAAGAATTAAAAATTGAATAGTATTTACATCTGTGCTTGTTCGGTATGTACTTTTTGTATTAGCCTCCATAAACTTTATTTTTCTCCAGATGTCATTGGTCTTGAGGCCAGGGACGACTTTTGGTCTTTTGGGGAAATTAAGTGAACTTCCTTAAGACGTAGATAATTTACCGTTTCATCCATAACTAGAAGTAGTCACGTGGAGTGCAGTTCAATTTGCCATTCAATTGATGATCATTTATTAGACTCCAGAGGTACAAAGGTGAGTAAAATGGAGGCCTTGTCTTTAAAAAACTCACAAGCAGTAGAGCTGCAAACTGAATGAAAAAAACTGTGTGATGAATGCATTGCTGGAAAGTAGTTACTTGTATATTTCCCTACTGAAAATAAATTTAGTAAGCACAGGAAAGAAATGCAGGAAGAAAGTGAGAGTGTGAGTTTCAGCAGAGACCAAGACAGAGTGGCCCCCTCAGGGTCCTATTCACACGTTTGGAAAAGACCACACAGTTCAGTGTCCTTGACATGAAGAGGAAACACAATCAGCCATATGACCTAGAGAGCCTGCGAGGATAAGGGCTAAACAAGGGGCGCAAGTCTTCATGGTGCTAGGAGGAGAGAGGATTTTAATGGTTCTTTAAATATTCAGTATGTTAATATAATGAGCAATGTTTCCAAACACAATCTTTACAATGAATATAACTGTTGGAGTAAGGGAAAAAAGACACAACAGTGATGCTCAACAGAGGTCAGTGGCATCATGCCAAAGCTTGTCTCAGAAAAGCAGTTCTGTGGGAGCCAAAGCTAGACAGTTCAGACAAGTAGCTCTTGGCTGATGTGGCTCTATCCAAGGATTATACACATTCCTTGTGGAATGATGGGCTAGATACCTTTCAGGATAAGCCTGTGAATGTTATTCCTTGAAAGGAATATTTTTGCTAATATTGAGTAACAGTGAGTTCAAGATTATACAGCTCAACTCTACATCCTTTCCTTGTAGTCAGATAAGTGTGTTTTATGAGTCAACCCCACTGGATAGCACAAACAAGGATCAGTCTATGACCTCAGGCTATGGGAATAACTACCAGCATGTTTGGTAATCTCACTTCAAGGAGTAGAAGGAAGAGAGATGAAGGTCCTGACATTTATGCCTTTGGCTGGAGTTTGCAAAACTGGCAGTCTGTGTGCTACATGGATTTGGCTCCATATGTATTTTCTTTGTTCAGTATAAGGTTTTGAAAGGTGACATAGCCAAGAAGGCATTATGATTGGTTCTTATTATGCAAAGTTAAGATATGTTTTTACTAGATACTGCTTTTACTTATGATGCCTGGGTGGTCCCTAGAGATATTTGTGTTTGAGACACCTGCCAAATTGCCGTTATGGTATAAAGGGAAGTTTGTGTAACTTTCAGAGATAGCGTAAAACAGGTAGTGATTACTCTGGGTGGGGAGGAGGATCATAAAAGGTTTTCTGAAAAGGTGGTTCTGAGACTGGGACTGGAAGGATGGAGGAGGTGTTTGCTGGGCATGGAATTTAGACAAGGGAAGGTGTTCCAGGAAGATCCAGGTACGTGTGTAAAGACACTTGTGTGGTCAGCATTATGTATTAGGTGAGCTTTAAGTAGAAACTGATGCTTCATGAACAGAGTATGGTATTGCTGAAGTGGGAAGTAGCTGGAGGACTCAGTATTCTGTGCTCAAGGAGTTGAACTTGAAACAATGGGAAACTATGGAAGTGTTTAAAACTGAGCATTGGCATGCTAGATTTCTGTTCTGGGAAGATTATTCCCACACAACCAAGGGAAGTGGTGGTAGGTGGAAGGGACTTAGAATATGTTAGGGGAGATAATTAGGGCCTGAGTTAAGGCAGTGATCGTGGGTTTAGAGGGAGGGAAGCAGATGTGAAAGATGTTTAGGAGGAAGAATTGACACCATTGACTGAAGGAGTAAATATGTAGGTGGAGTGGGGGAGGTGGGTAGTAATGGTGAATGAATGGTGATTCCATTGACTAAGATGGAGCAGGAGTTGAGAGTAGGGAAGGTATGGGAAGTGTATGAGTTTGCTAGGGCTGCCAGGACAAAGTACCACAGACTAGGGTAACTTAAATAATGGAACGTTTTCTGACAGTTGTGGAGGCTAGAAGCCCAAGGTCAAGGTGTTGGCAGGATTGGTTTCTTTTGAGGCATCTCTTGGCTTGTAGATGGGTCCCTTCCCTGTATCTTCATATGATCTTTCCCCTGTGTGTGCTTGTCTGTGTCCAGATTTGTGAGTGCTCACAGCTGTACGGGTGTATACTTCCAGTTAGAAAGGGGATTTTGAAGTGTCAGGGGCCAGTTCTGGGTAATGAGGGGCTAAGCAGAGAGGTCAGTTTTGGGGGAATGTTGAAACTACCCTTTTCTTGTAAGGACACCAGCTGTATTGGATTAGACCTCATTTTAACTTGATTACCTCATTAAACACCCTGTATCCAAATTTGAGGTACTCAGTGTTAGGACTTCACCATAGGAATCTTTGGGGACAGTTCAGCCCATGACAGGAAGGATGAGGGTCATAGTTAGCACATGCTGGATTTGAGATCCCTGTGGATATGCCGTGGTGGTTCTGAAATGTGTTTAGAGATGTGAGAGCCTAGCTCAGAAAGTGCTCCAGATTTGGTAGTTAAAACCTGGGAGTGGATAAAGTTATCTTGGATCGAGGTACCCAACTTTGTCTTATTTTAAGAATCACCCAAGAGGGGGGCTTTTAGAATAAACCCCATGTAGGGTCCCACTTGAGATGCATTGACCCCATCTTAGTGACGGAAGCTGAAACAGCCACCTGGTGATTATAACGTGCATCCCAAGTTAGAGAGGAGTGTCTAGGGAGTGTGATGTGTGAGCCAGAGAAGATGTGTCAAAGGATCACTCTAGTAATGCGTGGGAAGGGAGAAGAGCAGAATATAAAATATATATTTTATATATAAAATATATATTTTATATAAATATATATATATAAATATATAAAAATATATATATAATCCTTCTTGCCTGATGTCCACTGATTTGTCCATGAAGGATATGACAGTTATGGAGAGTATTTGAGAGGATAAGGGTTTAGAAGAGATACTGGGGGAAATGGAAGAGAGCAAAGGACAGTAACACCATAATGGTTGTTATTGTGGGCTCTGCTGAGATGACAGTGTCTGATGAGCAGTGCCCTCTTCATCTTGTCTGTACATTTTCTCCATGGGAGCCTCTGGAAGCTGTGAATGGGGACAGAACAGGCAGTTTGGAGTTTAATCCGGATTGAGGTGTTAAAAGGCAGAAGGGAATGTGGTAGGTAGCAGGCTGGTGGTGGGGTGGCCTGTGACATTAGGCTGAGTGTTGTGGGAACTGAGGTTGGATGGGCTGATAAACAGGGGAAAATGGAGGGGGCAGGAAGCTGGATATTTTGACATCCAAGGGCAGACAGAGTGTATGTGAGAGTTCACAGCTGTACGGATGTATAGTTCCAGTTAGGGGAGTTTGGAGTGTCAGGGCCCAGTTCTGGGTAATGAGGGACTAAGCAGAGAGGTCAGATTTGGGGATATGTTGAAACTACCCTTGATACTGACTTGCATGCTAAGCTGTTTGAAGGAGGGAATGGAGGATAGGAGGGATTTACCAGAGAGCCTTTAAGGCCTCTTTCAGCTTTATGATTTAACAAAATGTCGTTTTTTTTTTCTTTGAGCCACTGCTATCATTTTTTTTCCCTTTCCCTTTAGTTGTTTTGGAATTAGACTGCAGCAATCTGGAAAGTAACCATTTAACACGTATTTTTATTGATCCCCTTGTAATTGTAAATACATGATGGACATGGCCTCGCATGCCTTTGGATTCTGTTTATGTGTGTGTCATAGGGTTCATACAGGGTGAAAGTAGTGCATTGGTCAGAAACGTCTCCGCCAAACAGCTGGCTTATGGGGCCTGTAATGAGGAATTATGACAGGAAGGGGAGGAGTTACTGAAGTTATTTTAAGGTAACATTAGTTGGATTCACTCTTTACCATGTGGTAAAGGTCATCGTCATTACATTTACCATTTCGGGTTTGGAGTTTAACCTCCTTATTGTGGATTTGTTGGTCCTGGGCATTTTAGTTTTGCGGTAGGATGTTTTGTCTGCAGTTTTCATCTGTATTTGGAATGAGAATGAAGTATCGTTTTTAAAACCAGGACCCAAAACAATGGAAACAATTGTGAGGGCACATCTTATGTTCAGCGGTAGAATTTCTCGTGGATATTGGAGGAGATAAATTTGATTCTCATCCTGGCATATATAATGACTCATAATAGTTGTTGTTGCAGCAAAGGCAGATGTCAACAGCTTTGATTTTGAGTTTGCTCATTTGGGGAAAAACATTTTCTAAATCACACCAAGCTTAGTATCCATACAGAAACCCAAGAATAAACTCCAGAGCTTTCACAAGGCTATGGGCTGAATCCAACTGGTGTGTCCTGTACAGTCACAGAAATCCCGCTCGTCTGTTGCTTGGGGTTTTATTCTTTCTCTCCTCTCATTCCTTACCTTCCTTGTCTTCTTTCTTCTAGCAAGGTCCTCCACATCGAACAGTTTCTCAGCTTTTTACCACCCACCTTTAATGACCAAGTGCTGGGGAATAATTGCTTTGGGATATTTGTTCCCCTAAAGTCAGCCCTGTCTCACACTCTGCCCTTCTCTCATTCTCCTACTACGTCACATATACTGTTCTCCCTTCAGGGACAAGTTTGGACTGGAACTAAAAGAAGGGATTATCAGGATTTGGTTCTAATCCCGCTTTAACCATCAATTGAAACCAGCCCACATCGTACTAGTCATTTTGAGCCTGCCTTTGTGGACCTACAGGAGAAGGAGAGGATGAGAGAAAATGAATGGATTTGTGTCTGGTGAAGTGGTAACCATTTTGGCAACCACGAAGGTAGGGTGTTGGTTCTCACCTTTTACTTTGCATCAGAATCACCAGGGAGCAGGTTCAAAATGCTAAGTCTTGGGCCCTCTCACAGAGATTCTGATTCAGGCAATCTGGGAAGAACTCAGGATTCTGTATTTTTAATGAACTCAATTGAGAGACTTGTAGGGACTTTAAATTTTAGAATTCTAAGTTTCACAGTAATAGCATTTTTCAAGACTGGACCCATTTGAGATGACTGTAAACTCCAACTGTAGACTTTATTTCATGATAGTGTGTTCTCTAAACATGTCATTTCTGAAAATTAAAATGAAAGCAAGTGAGATGTTGGTTTCACCATGTCTGGGTTGGCCAGAAGCACACAGCAAGGGTACCGTATTGTGTTTTAGACGTTTTCCTTTAAAGAATATGTGTATCTCAGTGGAGAGTGGAAGGAGCTGGTCAAGGATCTGAGAGACAAGAATTTATGAGAAAGGAAAGGGGTAAATGGGTGACTCGATCTCTGCCTTCATATGCCTGATCCACCTTCAGGCGTTGGAAAGATGAAATTCAGTTTGATTACAGAAGAGTAGCTGGGTCCCCTTGATGGGCTTTTCAGCTAGGTGACTTGAACCTCATTTAAGAGAATTTCTAGTGAACAATCTGCCCAAGGACTTCATGGCTGGCCTTGAAAAGGAGTGAGCTTCCTGTCATTGTAAGTGTTCCAGCTGATACTGGAGAATGTAGATGAGATGAGAGCACTGGGGAAAAGGTGAAGCTAGATGAAGCTCAGCGGTTTCCTTCCAGTTGTGAAATGCTACTTATTTTATGAACAATACACTTAAAAATTTTAGGACACTGTTCAGGAATCCAAAGCTAAAATAAATCTAAGTAAACTCTAGTTGGTCGATGGATTATACACACACCACACCATCTTAGACTCACAAATGATAAATGCCAGGCTAGTTTTGGGTTGTCTTTGAAGTTTATTATTTGCAGGTGTAGAAGCTCTTAGTTTTAGCTTGTAACGTTTCAAGACATGAAGTGCTGTCTTGAACTGTCTTTGATGATTTGATGTTTATACATAAGGTCTGCTGTGAATTTGGAAGGCACTGCAAAGTCACTCTTTTAAAGATCAGAGGAGCTGGATGAAATAAATTAAGAGTTTTTTCTTGATATTTTGTAGATTCTTATTCTTTGCCTAGAGATCTGCCTTCAGAGAGCTGCTTTTATGGAAAGAGGGAGAGTCATGGCATTTCGTGTGAACTCATGAGCCAATGTGAGGTTTTCCTATCATTAGCTAATAACATATATTTAAAATCACATAAAAGTGTGTTGCCTATGGTTTGAAATTTTCTTTCTGAATAAATTAGAGATTAAAATCTGTGGTTTCTAGTTCAAGGATATTGTGCATAAACACACAAATCATGTATCTGATGTGGATTTTGATGTCATTAAAGAGAAGTGGCAGCAGCCAGGCATTATTATCTTTCCTCCCTTTTTCTCAGTTGCATCGGTCTTTTGCCTTTATGTTGAAAGGCCACAGTAGATGTTGACTTTCCTCCTCTAACTGCCAACAATTGTAAAATTTGAAATGTTTTTAGATAGGTAGTTTTAGCCCATATCTTTTTTCCTGGTTCTCTTGCTTTCACTGCTCTTGTTCCCAAGACTCAAAATTGAGGCCAGATGTGTGTCAACATTGAGAAACCCTGACTGGCTCTCTTGTTCTTTCCCTCCTTGATATTAATGCACGAAGGGAACTGCAACACCAGGCCTCTGTTAGTGTTCTATTATTTCTGCCTGTTGTTCTCTTGCAGGTTCTAAATGAGATTGCTGTGTATTTTTGTTGTGTGCTTTAAAATTTGAATATTTAAAGCAGTACTTTTGATAACATCGTAAGTCTCTGAAAACATTATATGTAAATATATGGGTATGCTGCAAATTTTAAATTTTGATTATTTCATTTTGGGAGGAGGGGTGAATGTTTTTATTTTTATTTCTTTATTGGCGTATGAAAGTGTTAGTCACTCAGTTGTGCCCAACTCTTTGCAACCCCATGGACTGCAACCCACCAGGCATCTCTGTCTGTGGGATTTTTCAGGCAAGGATACTGGAGTGGGTTGCTTTTTCCTTCTCCAAAGGATCTTCCCAACCCAGGGCTTGAACCCGGGTCTCCTGCACTGCAGACAGTTTCTTTACCGACTGGGCTATGAGGGAAACCCTGTTGAAGTACAGATGATTTATAAAATTTTGACTATTTTAAATTGAGGTTTTCTTGTATAACATTTTACCCAGAATCTAAGGCTAAATGACTCACCTACGTATCTACATGCGTATGTTAACAGTTGTTTTAACAGTGAAACAATAAATGAAAATGTATAAAATGTAAGCAACAGAAACAACAGAAATAAAATTTTGTGAAATATAAAAATTATAAAGCATGCTAAACATCCACAATAAAACCACTTTTAATGTTTTTAAATAACAATTCTTTCCCCCTCTGTACATATGATTCGGTCATTGATTAGAAACTCTAGGGGAAAATCCAAATTCTTACAAACTAGGAATATTAACTCTTAATATTTTTTGTATATGTCTCTTCATATATTTAAATGCATTAATGTATTTCATATTGTTAAAATTTTAATTTTTAGTAATTTTCTTATTTTAAAAGTGATATATGTACAATTCAGAACCTTTGAAAAGATAAAAAACATAAATAAAAAGTTGACAGAAGTCTTTCCACTTAAAAATAAGCATTAACCATTTTTAAACTTTTTTTTCCAAGTATGAAAGTGAAAGTCACTCAGTTGTGTCAGACTCTTTGCAACCCCATGGACTATGCATGTGTATACATGTATGTGTAATTCCATGGAATTCTCTAGGCCAGAATACTGGAGTGAGTAGCCTATCCCTTCTCCAGGGAATCTTCCTGACCCAGAAATCGAACTGGGGTCTCCTGCATTGCAGGTGGATTCTTTACTGAGCTATCAGGGAAGCCCTTTTCAAGTATGTGCATCTATAAATGCATACTTTTAAAAAAATTATTAATATTAGAGTATATAGTTTCTGTGTAGGTTTTTTATGGTTAAAAAAACTTAGAAATGTATAAAACTTTTTTTGGGGGTAATAATTGCACTATCAAGTTTGTTTTAGTGTGAATTTCTTATTAATCTTGCTGTTTCTTATATCTGAGGATTCATATCTGCCACCAGTTCTGGGACATTTTTGTTCATTAGTTCTTAGAGTAATACTTCTGACAGTTTTGTGGTTCTGACTCTCCATTTAGATGATTCTGAGACCTTTTCAGTATCATTCCTGCCTCTGAACCTCACTTTCAAATTATTATCTCTGAGGCTCTGTCCTCTGTTCTGTGTGATTTTTTTTTGGTAGTAACAGTCTCATTTACTAATTTTCTCACCAGTTGCACTTAATCAGATATTTATCTCATGCACTAATTTGAAATACTGTGGTTTTCATTCCTACAAACTCTGTTTGAATCTTTTTCAAATTTGTGTGGTCTTAAAAAATTTGCCATTCTTTCTTTACATCCTCTTGTTAAACATATTAAACACTTTTATTTTATAGTCTGTATCTGATAATTCCATTTTCTGTAGACTTTATAGGTCTGATTCTGCTATTTGTTGTTTTTTGTGTCTCTGGTATGTTCTGGCTTGCTTCCTTCATGTGTTCTGTGAATTTTTTTCTTCCTTTTTGTACATAAGCTCATGTTTCTAGGAACTTTTCCTCTAGTAATTCTTTGAGAACTTAGGTGAAATATAAAAAATTTCTATTTGTTTCTACTGATGCCTTAAGGGCACTATCAATTCATGTCCACATCAGTTTAAATATCAGTTGAGTTTTTTTTGGTGGCCATAGCAATTGTATGAATTCAGGCCTCCAGTGTATTATTAGGGGCAGGTGTCTGTGTATAAATCCTCAAAGGAGGCGCCTTCCTGCCTAGATCCAAATCTGAGACAGTCGTGTTTCTTTATCCTCTCCCTATGTGACATGGGTTAGTACTTTCCCCCCTATATACGTATTGAGGATGAAATGTCCCAGATTTTTAATCTGACTTTAACTTCCCACTTGATTTCTGCTTGTAAACATCAAAACTAGGGGTCAAGTGGGATTGGGATACACCTGGTTGCTAGGTTATGTGTTTTACCTTGACTGATGTCTTCACATATTTTGGCTTCTCTGGAGGTTTGTTACTTTTTGGCCAACTTGGCTTAGCATTTGAAAAGGTAGGTAGGGATGTATGTGTTGTGTGTGTGTGTGTGTACACATTTTTGTATGTTCACACACCCAGCCATTTTAGATGTTTTTGTACTGGGAGAGTTTTCAGGGTATTTTGTCTTCAGTATTCCTGGAAAGGAAGTCTACAGTATGACTTTTTAACAGTAGGGCATGATTCGTCCCTCAATTATATTTTTATTTACTTAAATAATCTTCTTCCTTGGAACCTTAGGTTGATTTCAATTTCTGTTACAAAGGATGCCCTCATTTAGATATCTTAGCATAGGTTGCTGATATTTCCTCAGGATAAATACCTTGAAGCAAAATTGCTGGGTCAGAGGGTATACTTGTCTGGGTCTTGATAGATATTACCAGAGTCACCCTGAAGTCACACTGAAACTTCCTAACACAGCGCTTGCAAATGCCATACTTCTTTAA